CACGGGATTGGAGAATCGTCAAAATCTCCTCTGACCGCGTCAAAACCGTCGGAAAACGCTGCACCCAAGGCAGCGTCAAAATGAACGTCGCAGCGAAAAGCTGCCACGAAAGTATAGTGTACTCCCGAGCTCCGACCAAATGTCGAAACTGAACAACGACACGCTGCCGAAACAGTGGTAAATCTGGCCCTCTGCTCCGCCACCATCTCTGGCGTCGAAGCCACCTTCCTCCCTTTGACCAACGGGTCAAACAGACAATTTGTAGACTCGATGAGAGTCTACTTACGCGCCGCCATAGCGCATTACATGGCCTCGGGCTCGGCCTCTACGCCACCCGTTTTCCCTCCTCGCCCGGCGAATTCCCTCTCAAGGGCTCCCGACGCCAGGAGCACTCCAACACCCGCCGTCCCAGCGCTGCCTATCAAAAGCACCTGGGCCAAGTTGGCCAAAAACGAACTGCGTCAAGCAGCAGTCTCAACTGTAAAGGCTGTGCCGCGATCTATTGCCAAAGCCCAACATAAAGAAATTCACAAGGCGAAAGTCGACAAGGAACTGTTCCTTCGCCTTGAAAAGAACCACCCGTGGCGAAACTGTCCACATATAGCGTGAGATGTAATTTGGAGTCTACATTCCACTACTTTAACGATGAAATAACCTCACTACATCTAGTGAGGACTGGATTTGCTATGCTAGCAAAGAATGACACAATACGATAAGAGATGCTAGATGGCTCTTCGAATCTTGTCGCCTTATAGATACCGAACGTACCTGCAAGTATAGTTACAGTGCGCGGCACCAGAGCGGTCAATGCTGAGTGGGTCTCTATCCAAATCGCCATCACGACCGGCGTAAATCCAATCCAGGTCTGACCCCATGGGACGTGTCGACCTAGGGCGCCGTATCGAAACTGGCATGCCCTTTTCAACCGGGACTCCGCCTCTCGTGCAGGCTTCCGCCTCTTCGACGAGTCTGGTAAGGCTACCCTTCACAAGCCTGGTCGAAAAATTGAACAGTGCAAACGCTGTTTGGGCTTCTACGCTACCCGTGGTTACCCCCGCACTCCAGCCCGCTGGAACTGCGGATCTAACATGCATTCAGAAGTCGAGTGCAAGGCCCTCACAGAGTGTCGCAACCGTGGGAGACCCCACCGATCGGATTACCGGAACTGTCAATTCAGACCTAAAAAATCCGGACCGGTGACCAAAGAGCAGCTCGCGTAGATCCACCACCTCGAGCAAGGGAAGTTCTCAAAGGTGGCTCGAACTAGGGCTGCAGCCAAAAAGGCCGGAGAGGCGATCATCGGCGCGGCGAAGGATGTTTCGATGGCTGAGGCAACAGGTTTCGGAGTGCTGGAATCTGAAGAAGAAGTTTGAGGACACAGCAGCCTCGACGATATCCCTTTTGGGGCATCTACTAACTAATAGCAGGATACCGGCTGGATATTAAGTGCCTGCTAACTCACCTCTTGCTGTCAGCGGAGATGGTGTAAATTTGTCATTTGGAAGGTGTGATGGGCGAGGAAATGTAAAAGGAGCACATTGCTTGGGTCTAATGTGGATGAATCTTCTGGCTTTTGGAGTTTTTTTGATTTTCTCGGTTTTTCGTTTCTATTCAATCAGCTGCACTTTCAGCAGCGATTCATGAGGTTGGAACGAGTTAGGCTGTAGGAAAGATTGCAGGGAACCTTGCCGGCTCCACCGGTCCTTGATCCAATGTGGATAAAGAGCGTTAGCTTAGGACCTATCGTAATAATAGAACAAACAACAGCCCTTAAATCTTAACATCAATATCAATTCATCCTCTATTCTAGCAAGCAATGTTTCTCGAACAGTCTGCTTCAGAAGCTAGAGTTCGCAGGCATCTAACTCACGATCGATGTACTGAAATAACAACATTAAGAAGACTTGGCTTGACATTACAAAATATATCCGACGAGCTTGGCTTCACAATAAGGCTAGTACAACTTGCGTGTGCTCGAGAGACTGAGAACCCTATACTTCGCAAAGGACGCTCACCAAAATTAAGCGCGGAACAAGTTGATGAGCTTGAGGCTTTCGTGCGGGAATCTCCTGAAAATCGACAGATGTGCTATTTGGAACTAGCGATGGGACCCTTCAGACACTGGGGATGCATTGAGCATTAGCTTTCAAATGCCCTCAATGAAATAGGTTACAGCAGATGCATTGCTCGGAAGAAGTCTCCGTTAAGTATGGTTTACATGCACGAAAGATGTGTAGCGGTGATAAAGGCAAATGTAAGGTACAAGTTGCAGGCTATTGCCTTGTAGATGGGATCCAGACTTTATCCGGCTCCTAGGAGTTGATTATGTCAGCGATAAGCGAGACAACATCTAGGGGGTGACCCCACAAGCATGTAGTTTCTCTCTTTAGACACAAAATAAACCCATTTTGGATACACTCGTGCGGACAGCTATTCACTCTGGTGCCATCCTTTCACAGTACACAAAGTATTGGGACGGAGCAGACTAATGCAAAATATATAGTGCGCTTTCATTTTAGTTGCGAGCCATACTAAGGGCTTCAATGTAGACTTACGTAATACAGAGCAATTAGTTTTGACATAGATGTGTATTTTTAGATAATATCAACTGATTTTTTTTCAGCTCGATAGTGAGACCGGCCCTCACGTATGGGTCCTCGATATGGACCAAGGCCGGGCAAACAGGAAAGATACCTGAAAGGATAGTGAAAACCCTCAGAAGGATCCAAAGAAAACGCTTAAAGCTTGCTGCAGACGCCTACAATTCTACTAGCAGCAGAGTGCTAGAGCACGAATGGTCCGTCCTCCCTATAGAGATATACCTGAAACAAAGGAGGGTCCAGCACGCCGGACTATCAGATAAACTCCCAGTTCAACAGACAATCCGATCGACATTTAAGAGGATAAAGCTTCCCGCAAACGGGAGAGAAACTCCGCATGCATTGAACAAGAGTGAAGATATCGCCGAATGGACAAGAACTTGCGGAAGGGAAATGGACAAGGGGAGGCAGAAAGAAGCTGGAAAGATAGCGGCCTTTCAGGAGTGGAAGGATTCATGGACAAGCCAGAACAGGAAACAGCGCCCTGGCCGACTAGCATCAGCCGATCCAGAACATTGGAAAGCGGCAAATATATTTACTGATGAACAAACTGGCAGCACCAAAATGAACTTCAAAGATACACCCTTAAAAATCCACCGTAACCTAGCCAGGGCCCAAAGCAGTGTCGCCACTCAGCTAAGAAGCGAGCATATCTGACTCAATTCTTACCTGTGCAGAAGAAAAGTACCCGGAGTAGAAAAGCCAAGCTATCAATGTGGATATCCGTCGCAAAACGTCAAGCATATGGTGTTGGCGTGTCCGCAGTGGGTAAATGGAAGAGGCGAATTTCTCCGACGAGCTAAAGATAAGTCATTTGAAGCCATGATGAACAGCCCAGAGGATGTGGCTAGAATTACACAGTGGATACTAAGCAAAGGGTGGATAAAACAGTTTCGACTTGCAGGGGAAGTCGAGGTAGCAATATCGGAAAAAATAAATAGATCTGGAAGGTGAGAGAACGGAATCCACACTAGCTGAACAGGGTACACTGCACTTCCTGAGGGTAAACTAAACAGATTGATAGGAATATAAACAGACAGGATTAGGGGATTTCCACCATAAAGGTTTCCTTCCGTGTAAGTATAACAGATAGTAGACACCTGCATGGGCTCTTAAGGCGCCAAATCAGGATAATGAAATCAAGTTTAAATAAATTATTCAATATTCCTGATTTAGCACCTCTAGGCCCATGCAGGTTTTATTGGAAGATATGTACTTTAAGTAGGATTACTCAATTTGACGTTTTGAACACTCACACTCAGATTTCATTTGCAAATACCACTCGAGGTCAACCCTTATGGCGTATAATCTCTTCCATGCATACTCACTACAGGGAAAAGCGAGAAAAACCTGTGGCTATTCGAGTGTGCTTTTATCATCCCACAAGTACAATATGACCGCGCGAGAGAGTGCTGCGTGGGTTTTGCTGAAGTTGAACCAGCTTTCTTCTATCCTAAATGGGGTAGATGTTCAAGCTACCTAGATTCTGCTTGGGAGAACGGTCTGAATGGTGTACCATTGCACCGTCAAACCCAAAATTTTCGAGTTTTTGTCTCAAACAGGCTCAGCATACTACAACCCTTGCGACATTGTCTCAGGCTACTAGCTATATTATTGTGGCATCTTAACTAGATTTAATCAAGTTAGGCATCGCAACGAGATGTGAAAGGGTGTTTAGCTTATCTCCCAAAAATAGAATCAAAGATTCGTGAATTAAGCAACTGAAGGGACTTTGATTAAAGTTCGGGTCTTACAACTAATAACTAGAAAAAATGATCACAGAACTTCAAGCGGAAAATAAGGTCCCAAGGTATATCTACGAGTGATGGTTTTCGTACAGATAATTCTTTGAATGAATCTGACTTGCAAGTCAATGCGAGTGATATAGAGAATGACTTTTTTATAGTTAAGATTATCCAAAATTAATACGAAAGCCTGATTGAAACGTGGAAATCTTGGGTACATGTGAAATTATCTTTCACATTCTATCCGTGGGAGGTCAATAGCGCTCCAGCGCCCGAACAGCCTCGTCAAGCAAATTTTTGGTAGCAGAGTTCTGTGTGATCTTGAATCCGATATAGGATTCTGGCACGAGCAAAGTTTTCGATAGACTTAACTGGTTTTCAGTACATATATTTGTGGGCTACTTATGGGTATGCTTACATTGTTTTCATCGCTAGATCAAAGACTACATTTGAGTCTCCTCCAAATCTAGAGTGCATGGTAAGAGCATGTTCCGTAGAGGGCTGGAACCTGTCACGAGCCCTCCTAGCCGAGAGCGAATACCGCTCGCAGCTGGTGGCTGTTGGATCTGTGTGACCTTGAGGCGGAATATTAGATTTGGGCTAGATGGTGCAGGAGCTGATTCCTCACTCAAGGCGAGGTTTTCAAACAGTCAATCTAAAGAGAAGTTAGCGCTAAATTGTTATTGGAAGAATTTATCGTACCGTCATAATAATTATCATCATCGTCAACTTCGACCAATTGCTCAAAATTTACCTTATATCGTAGAATCCCACCAATTCCACCAAAACCTTTAACAAACTGATTTCCTTCTGAAGAGCGGTCAGAAACGAACTCCAGGTTGGCTCCAAACTCTTTATATTTCTCGGCAATCCATTCAAGAAAGGACTCCTGGGTTACAACTTCCATTTCTTGCCCAGTTTCCTTATCCATAAACTGATCACGATTGGCATTCTCTGATTGTTTTTTAGTGTGCAGAATGTGTTTGGTTCCGCTTATATCTTTGAGCTCCCATCTTGTGATTTCTAGATTCTCAAAGACAATAAGGGTTTCAACAGCGCCGAGCTCGAGAGCCTTTAGAGTGTCGTCGACTCCGTAACAGATTCGACCAGATTCTTGGGATATCTCCTCAAAATACTTGCCTATAAGCTTTTTTTCTTGAATAAACTTAACGTTGCTGAGGGTTTCGGAAGAAAGTTCGATCGCCTGATTGAATCCATTCTCACCACCGTAAGAGACATCAACTACTTTAATTACTTTAGTCTGAAGTCGGTTATCAAATAGATCGGACTGATTAAGATCGTTTTTGAAATCTGCAGATCCTGCCAAGATAATCCCAGCGACATTAACTTTATCAGCGGTGATAAAGTTCTGTACAGCAAGCTCAGCCACTTTACGGACATAATTATGTCGCTTTTCTTCACGAAGGCGGGCAAATCGAAGAGCTGACTGACCACCCCGACCGTGTTTTTTGGGTAGATCGACAGAAAATTTATGAACAACGTCACGTGTGTTTCCACTAAGAGTTCCAAATAGAGCTCCATTTCCATCCATAATAATGAACCCAAATTTCTGATCTGCCTCGAGAAGCTCAGCAAGGGCCTCAGTATGAAACTTGTTATCACAAAGGTAAAGTGAGGTGTTTATAGGCTTGAATGGTTCGAAGTCGATATTTACTTTCCTTTCTTTGCCTTCTGATGTTAGAATTTCGCCGCAGTACACAACTAATCCATTCGGGGGAACTTTATTGTAGAGCTTGAGTCTCTGTTGGGTTGAAGTTATTGCAGAGAGGACTGATTGACGGTTAACACGAGATTTAATGTTTGATGCAGTTCCCTTTCGCAAGTTAGTATTGCTGTTAGGAGTGAATAAATATAACTATACGTATTCTTCGGCCAACATCTTAGCCGCCCGAGAAACTTGGTCCTTTGGTGCTAATGTTTCGTTAACATTTAAATAAATGTAAAGAGTATTGATACGTACGAATGATCAAGGAGATCATGGATGTACCATTTCCTCTGGCGGCTTCTAGCCGTTTAATTAGCTTCTTAACCTTCCATATTTCAATATTTTTCTCTGCCTCATTGGCTTGAGCGTCACTCATGATTGCAATTTAAGATCTCTCGAAAATCTGAGAGTCGGGAGGTCTGTCTTGCGAATCTTTGTTCTGTCTCGGGTGTGATGTCTATCAGTTTGATGTGTTTGTACAGAGAGTGAGTTTGTGCGAAGGCTATGCGTTTGGTTGGGAATGACATGGTACGTGCGATTCCGGATAATCTTATGCCCGGCCATTCCTTCATAAGGATTCCGAACACAGATGTTCAAATTACAGTGTATACAGCTATGTAGCCATGACACATTATTTACATAATTATATCTCCAAAACTCCTTTATATATAATCCGCTCTATTCCTTGTTAATTTCCAATTGGTGTTTCCTATTTTAATATCCTATGTGGGCTACCATGCACTTAGATGTGTCCAAATGTATAAGATGAGCTTCCTTTCCTATCTATATTCGAAGTAATACTGGAAGTGTTCTTGGCTCTATACCCGTAAAGCATCAGTTTCTTTTGTCTCTGAGTTTACAACAATATAACAACATAACAACAAGTGTTGCACATCCTGCCTTCCTTTTTGACAAGAATTGCATAAATTATCTTTAACTTTTCCTATCATTTGCAGATAGACCCGTGTATTTCTGATTCCAAACCTTGCCTGGAAGAATCCTGTCTCTATCTCCCTGCGTTGTCCTTGGTGATTCCGATCTCCCTCCCCTGATATAACCTAATTTTAGTTTGCACTATACAGCTTGAGACTGACGCTATCTAGCAGGTTGGGAGCCCCCTCAAAGCCAGGTCATACCTTCCACTGCGCTCCTACCCTCTATTGTTCCAAAATGAGATGTCTGATATAATGGACATGATGCAAAGCTATCTTGCTTAGTTATAACCCCTTATTACACCCTTCTGTCCACTGTAATATTTTAACCAAGAAAAAAGGTAGTAATGGAAATTGTATGAGCTGGAAAAAATCCTCAAAAAACAGCTGCCCCAGCTAGGCGAAGCCTGGAAAACAGAGCCACGCAAGGTATACATATCCATCCATATCTCTCTTCTCTGTATCAGCCGAGGCCAACTTGACCCAATCTACCATCGCCGTATCGGATGCTGGGTACGCTCCGGAAACCCTTCGGATGGCTTTTCCTCCGTGATCAATGATTGGTAATGAGAAGGGCTCCGACCCTACCATCTGATCTGATCGTGATTAGCTTCATGATAATAGTGATAGGGGATGTGTTGAGGGATTAAGACGATACAGACAGCGACAGCGATTGGGAACCCTCATCGAAGTGAGGACTTTGTTACTCAACCTCGACCCTACAGACTCTAAAGTGAGAGCTAGAAATTTATAGGGGATACCACTGACAGGTGTTGAGATTAGTCCCCCCCATAAAGCCAGTGAAACAATTGAATACCACAGTTTTTTAGAATCATGCCTTTCCTGCTCTCACAGGGAGATGCAGCCCGCTTGAGACAGGAGACCGCTGTTTCGAATCCGGCAAAATTAAACTACATTTCTAGCGGCGCTGGTGTATTTTTAAATTTGTTTCACTTGATAAAAGTTATGTGGGTGTTGTACAACTGCACTAAGCATGCGTCAGGCATCATCATGTTCAGGGTAATTATTGAATGGAAAAACTGATCACGTGATATAATCTTATTGTATGTAGTGCTGAGTAGTTTTCTCTAGGTAGCAACAAGGTATCATTTTGTAATTACCTTCAATACAGTTCCGCCTTTATTATGACCAAATTGATCATATCGACTAAATGCGTTACAATTTATCATAACTGAACTTTTTCATTTAGCTCGATTTTGCGACCTATGGGTCCATGCAGGTGTCTACGAAACCCTAATATTTACTTGGGAAAAAACATTCGGTATAGACCCACTCAACTTTCCAATTTATCCATACTTTGATTCTATGTTACCTTCAAGAAGCACTCTGACACTGTTATGCCAGTGCGGATAGCGTCCTCTCCCCTGTGATTTGTAGAAGTTTGTCTTCCGTCTACCTTTCTCTCTCTCTCATTTTCGCTTCGACTTCAAGCGTTAGTCGAAACTGTTCTAGCCGCCCTTCCTGTTGGATCCATCTAGTTATCCTTGCTAAATCTTTTGGATTGTTCACTATGGCCTCAGATAACCGGTTCCCTGCTTTTCTAAGTATTTTTCTTCTTCCTTTGGTCCAGTTGGTGCAGGCCATAACCATGGGATTGACATTTTGGGACGGATATCTACATTGGCATCGTGGGTTATCTACTCCTGGAAGTTTTCCTCTGTGCAGATAGGAGTTGAACCCGATGTATTTGCTCCTAATTTATATGACTATACTGCTCTGGGCCCTGCTCATGCGTTTATGGATACTGGAAGGTGCTCCACTTTTGCTCATTATAGTCCTTCATGTCTCCTTATTTATAAAGATATTTGCTGCGTTCCAGATTTTAGGATCTGCTGTCGCATAGTAGTTAGTAGGCTGTCTGGCCGTTAGTCTAGTCCAGGATTGTTCCCATTCTTTAAAAGCTGCGACCTTCCCAGCCGCTTTCTGTTGTTCCTTGGTATCGATATTCCTATATATTTGACCTCACTCAGAATTGTCTATGGTCCTCGTGAGAGCTCGTGCATCTTGCCTCCAAGCTCGGGGTTGTATAATCTTCCTGCATGCCGACGATATTGTATCTTTAACAAGTAGGCTTTTCGATAGTCCGGCGTGTTGGACCCTCCTTTGTTTCAGATAGATTTCCATTTGCCAGGTAGAAGTTTCATGCTCAAGTACCTTGCTGCTGGTCGAATTTTAGGCTCCCGTGACGATCTTAAGGCATCTTCTTTGAATACTTCTGAGGGGGTTAATTACTCTCTCGGGTATTTTGTCTGCCATTCCGGGCTCGGCCCAAATGGAGGATCCGTAGGTGAAAGCTGGTCTCACCACAGTATTGTACACATTTTTGCCCTAAGAAACGTTGCACACCAAGTTGATTGTGCCAATCAATCTAAGGCTTGTATCTGTGGTTCGACTCTGAGCTGTATGCTTTTAAGCGGCACTGGAGTATATTAATGACGAAGGCGTGCCTGGATAATCAAAGGTTTAGAAATTCCCTTAGATGGGTACTTACGGAGGAGGGTCGACTGTTTGTGTAAGCAAACATACCTCATGGTGGTATTTGTAAATGAAGTCTAGGGTATGAGTTTCCCTAACGTCAAAAGAGTCAAACAATATGTATACGTAGCACTGGTCGAGTTATTTTTGAATCATTTGGTCCTAATCTAATGCTCTTTGTCCACTATGTGTGCAGGACCGGTGGAGCCGGTAGGGTCTCCTGTGATTTTTCCTACAGCCTAACTCGTTCCAAAATCATGAATCGCTGCCAGTATTGCAGCTGATTAATATAATAACAAAAATCAAGAAAATCATATTAACTCCGAAAGACAGAAGATTCCTTCATGTGGGACCCAATCAATGCGCTCTTCACACTTTCCATCGCCTGTCATATCTTCCAAATGATAAAATCCTTGAATCTCCGCTGAGTGCTGAGTGCTGAAGATGAGTTGACGGGTTTTCTCTACGATTTTCGGTCACTCTTCAAAATTTTTTAATGTCATTGCTGACTCCTTCCTAGTGCGACTCGCACCTCACGCCTAAGCCTCGGGGTTAAAGGCCTCAAATGTCGTTAGGGTAAGAGTTTCCGGAGGTTAGTTGGCAGAAGGTTTATGAATAATTGTTGATGAATCAATCTGAACTTCTGATATATTTTGGTATTCAGAACAATGTGGCTCTGTGTTATGATTATTAGCGTGCGGAAGATATTTTAATGGACAAATGTAGGCGACTAGCGATGCGAGAGGAGAACAATCGTGTGAGTTGGGAGCAATGAACTTATGTGTGCAGGCTTTTATTTTTTTCTATCTAGTTGGATGTGTGTACTCTATAATCTATGTACATGGTTCGGCTAGTTTACTAAGCTAGCTCCTAACAAATCCCTTCATACACCATAACACTCTGGGAGGTAGAAAGCGGTACTTATATACACATCTGAGGTAGCTAGAATCTCGACTTATTTTCCCAAAACAGTATCACGGAATATTCTAGTATTCTCCGTCTAGTAGTGTAATCTAGAAACACTTTCCATACAGTGCTTCATTGTACCTCTACTCATCATGGAATCACCTGGAAAGTTCCTGCTTCACGCTCAGTGATCATTACCCTCATGCATCGTAATCCTAGCCATCACCAGCACAACATCAAAGCCTACCCCACTCGACATCGTCGTATCTTTCGAGGCAGGTTGACTTCCTGCCTCGGGCTTGCTTCGAGCAGCCTTCGCTCGGACTACTGCAGCAAACTTTCGTTGGCTGGCTTGTCGGATTAATATCTGTTCCTCCTTGGTTATCGGGCCAGCTCGGGTCGACCTAGCCAAGCAGTCTCAGATTTTCGAACGGTGAGGAACACCACAGTCTCGACACTTGGTGATAGCTTTGCACTCCGCGATAGAGTATATTGTTGAGCCGCAGTTCTAGCAAGCTGGGATGCAGAAGCAGCCACAGATGGCGAGGTTGCCGAGTCCGAGTCGACACTACTCGATTTAGCGACGAGGCTGAAGCTTTGTAGCCATTCTAGACTCGTCAAAAAGGCGGAAGCTCGCATGAGGTGCGAGCTCCCCAGGAAAAGGATACTACCAGTTGCGAGTTGGCGCATTGGGATAGAATGTCCCGTGTAGCTGCACTTGTAACGGCTCTTCTAGGGTTACTCTGCATCGACCGTTTTGGTGCCCTTTAGTGTGCAACCCTTCACCAGCACATTGGCTATGCGGAAGGCGGCAATGTTCGAAGATAATCCGATTTTGGCGTCGAAACTCGCCAATTCCGAGAAGGCATCTAGAAGGCCTTGTCGTTGTTCATCGTTTTTTGCCACAGTGGCAAAACCAGACTTAACTCGATGTATCGAGCTACTAGTAATTGAAACACATGTGGTATGCTCTAACAATGCGAATAAGATACCCACGGGTGGTTGCTATAAAGTCGTTAGAACAGCTGCCTGTGCTCTTTTGCTTTGATAGCCTCTTTCTTTTGGGCTATAGCAGTAGGTTGCGGCACAGGGTTCATTATCGGGACTGCTTTTTGTCGCAGTCCATTTCGTACCACTGTAGCCCAGGTGCTTGTTGTCGGCTTCGCTGGGACGATGGATGAGCTTTGGGTTTTGACGTCGGGAGCCCTCAGGGGAAGATCCACCGGGCTAGGAGGAAGAACTGGTGGCGCAGAAGCCGGGCCTTAGGCCATATATTGTGCGATGGCGGCACGAAGGTAGACTCTCATCGTGTCTACAAATTGTCTATTTGACACGTCGATCAAAGAGAGGAGTACTGATTTGACGCCAGAGATGGCGACGGAAAAAAGTGCTAGATTAGCCGTTGTATGGGCGGCGCCCCGAGAATCGGTCGAAGCTCTGGCGAATATTCTGCTTTTGTAGTAGCTTTTGGTTGCGACATTGTTTTTGGGACTGCTTTTAGAGCAGTGTTCTCCGCCAGTTTTGACTTGGTCGGAGAAGATTTGGAAGGTCCTCCAATCCCGTGGGGACAGAGGCTTGTTGAGAGATTTCCTCATGGATTTCAACTGACCCGATCATGTCAGTATTGGGCGCAGCAACGGTGGGAAGGGCATATTTCTTCCCTTTGCTTGTAACAGTGCTCATCTCCCCGCATCTTAGAGACTTTTTGATTGATAGAGAACCCTCTGACGAAGTCTCGTGTTGTCCAATATGACGTTGGGACGCTTTTTTCGAACAGGTGGCATACTATGAACGCCAGAAGCTCGGTCTCGACTTTCCGAATGTATGTGACGAGCGCGAGAGGGGGGAGATGGGAAATAAAGGGATATTCGAAAATGACCAGGAATGGTAGCATTGATAATGTGTCATAGCTAGATAGCTAAATACACATTAAATGATTCTTATTTTTTTTAAAAAAGGTGGTGTGGCGCGGAACATGATTGTATCTTGCGGGACTCGACATATCTATCTACAGTCATATTTGGAGCGGATGGCTTGGTAACTCAGATACTAGTTGAGGATTTAAGCTGTACGTATACCTCAATGCAGTCTGATCGACCATGTCAACTAATCGTGACTAGTATCTTAAGATATAAGCGAAACTTCAGTATGGAGGGTCACTGATAATTCTGGCCCAGGTTTTACCATAGAAAAGTACCTGACAGTTAGTTTGGGATTTGGAAGGTGAATCTTGAGATTGATTTGCCCCGTATGTCCTCTGATGGAGGTTCACCAACTATATCGGAGGGGAGGGGGGTGGTAAAACATTAAGTACTCGGTATCATTAATAACCAAACCTAAGCATTAATACGTGACATCTATGGCTCTTTCATTTAAAATGATATCTTAAAAGTATTTATAATTCATGACGCGGTCAAATAAATGTTTCAGTGTAGACCATCAATTACACTGGTTTCATTCCTAATTTTGTCATTGGATTTATGAATTTGTCCTCCAAATTCCTAATCATCCTAGTTATTTTGGTTAACCAAACCAAGTTTCCTGGCCAATTGTTCAAGATTATCTTTGGTTAAAATTAATCAAGTCCCTAGTCGTAAAGCATATGTAACCCATGTGAAAAATCGTTTACTTCCATTAACTCCAGCGTGAAGATTAGTCATTAATCCTGCATTTACTTCGTTTCAAATAAACAATCGTTCTTTTCGTGGACATTTCTCTTGTTACTGACACATGCAGTGACGTTAACTTAAAGAGCAAAATGTGTGTTGACGATCAGAAAATATTTCATTACTACTCATGTTATAGGGTTCAAAAAAGGACTGAACAGAAGCTCTTCAGCGCTTGGTCGCTTGGTAAATTCTACCTCAAAAGCACGCTTTAAAAATGTTTGGGCTTCAACGCTAGCATGGTTAGGAATGGATGGACCAATCTTGGCGCCGCCAATCTTAAATATAGCTTGGAGTTGAGAACAATCTGGAAATGGATGTGTACCAGTCATCATCTCAACGACAAGACACCCAAGCGACCATATGTCAGCTTTTCGAGTGTAAGATGTCTGCTTAACAACCTCAGGTGCCATCCAAAAAACCGATCCCTGTAGAGAAGGTCGGTTCTTGTTATTTCCAGCTCCGTTCAGTAGATTGGAAGCCTCAATTTTTTTGGAAATACCAAAGTCCGATATTTTAATGCCACCTTTGTTATCAACCAGAATGTTAGCACCTTTGATATCGCGATGTATTATTTCTCTTGCATGGAGGTATGCTAGTCCGGTCACAATCTGTCGTACAAAGTTCCGAATCAGTGGTTCTCGAAGAGCACCGTAAGAATTCAACATGGTTTGCACGGAGCCTCCAGGTACATATTCCAAAAAAATGTTGAGATGATCTGTAGACGAGCTTGCCCCCAAATACTGAACAATATTAGGGTGTTGTAGATCCCGTAATAGGCTTATCTCACGCTTGAGCGCGTCAATCATGCCTTTCTTCCTTGTATCGCTGGTGCTATTTGCTCCAGGTGCAGGAGTCTCAACTTGCTTAACCGCAAGAAGCTCGCCTGTTACTGCGTGTAGCGCAAGATAAACGCTTCCAAATGATCCTTGTCCAATAAGAGCACCTTTCATCCATTTACTATCATCCCAAGAATCTCCGGCCAAAAAACTTTGAAGTTCCAAGTCTTCTTCCTCGCCGTCATCACCCAAGGCTTGGCTTATATTTCGAAGAGAGCCGCTGGCTTCTGTACTTCCGTCCTCATAAAAGCTTGCGCCTGCTTGAACATCAGAATCGTTGTTGTTCACATTAGCGTTATCTGATCCACCGTCGGATGACACAAAAGATTTCCGATTTGGTTCAAGAGTTGCTTCTTCGCGAAGAGGCTCAAGAAGAGATGATGCCATTGAATCCCTAAATCGGTTCACATTTCCACGTGAGAGGTCAAGAGGCTTAACTTTTGCAATATGACTATTTCCGCTGAGCCATGTATCAGCTATGGTTGGCATCGGGGGTGCGTTCTCGATACTTGATGCATAGCTAAAGTTGCTTGCAACACTTAGACGACTGTTAACTTTACTCAGACGAGTCGATCTTCGGAGAGATAGTCGAGCAGTACGGTCAATTTCCTCTCTAGGATGATCCGGAAAGTACGTAGTTAAGTCCGACGTAATAAGTTCGCTCGGAGGTCTTGCACCAAAAAATTGCCGCAGAACACCCTGTTTATTTTCTAGAGGTCTATTAAATGCTCCTTGTATCTCTGGAGCTGATGGGCGTTCAAGATCTTTGGCAGCATTATGAACGTTTCGTTCTCGTTCGCCAGGTGATGTTGAGGTATAGGAGGTTGGCGACAGCGAATACTGTTGTGTAGATTTCCATGTATCATTTACAAGCTTTGTACTCTTTGCTTGAGCCTTTTCCTCAAAGGCCCTTGGGGCCTGATTACTCACAGTTGCAGCCTCTTCTACCGCGATGGCAGCCGCTCGATGAAGTTCTGGACTACCTGGCACGCCTTGGTGTATTTTTCTGAGTATTAGTCGATTTCTTTCCGACCTAGTCATATCCTTTATTATTCTCCACAGCTCGTCTTCTGGAAGTTGCCGACATCTTGTAGGGTCCGGCTCTTTGCCGTCCAAAACGTAGAAACAGTAATTGCGATCGTGGTCCTCCCTGTAACCAAACTTTCGTAATGTCATTCTCATTACTTCATCACATGATCCACAATCGGCTACTCGAATAATCTTGGAGGCTCCCCCGGAGGATATGACGCGGATTATATCTGAGCCTTGTGGTAGTTGTCCCATCATGGATCCGTCAATACTGCCCTTACTTGGCTTGTGACTTTGGCCCACTTGTGAAGTCTGAGGCGGGACCTGTTGAGAATCTGAAGATACGCTTGGTCTACGTGGTCCTAACTTTGGCGCATAACCAGATCCACTAGACCCTGATGACGTGTGGTTCTTTCTACCTGCCTCGATAGATTTGATTAGACCAGAAGCTTTATGGTTCCGGAGCGTATGGTTTTCAGTGGGTGATATTGGGTTTGGGTCTGAGTCAATAACAACCTCAGGAATCGTAGATGCAGGGTTGAAACCTTCGAATTGCCTGGAATATCTTTTACTTGCTGTGGATACTGGAATGGACCTTTTAGGGTGATTTGCACGCCGGGTCGCATCTTTGGATGAAGGAGCAACTTTTCCAAGGCTTACGAAAGAGTCCTATAGTAGATGTTAGTTCTAAATATCAAATGGGTAGAGTAGATACTTTACTCACTCGACTTCTCTTTTTTTGGTTTACGTACGCCTTTGTTCGGAGCTTTTTAATATTTAGATAGAGGCGGACCCGGTCACCAATTTTTTCAATGCCAATTTCTTGCAAGACTGCTTTATCCATTTCGAGCAAATTTTCCCCATTGATATTATTCTTGCGAAACAAATTTTCATACTCTGAACAATTTATGCTAGCCAGCCAGTCACATACTTTCTCTTCGCTCCAATTTTTAGCGGGTTCCGGACCATCAGCGTCAGAAAACTCGGATGCCGTAGGACTGACCAGCGAGTGACTCGAGTAAGGCATCATAGGGGTTCTCCGATTATGATTTTGTGTACTCTGCACGGCAGAGGATAGGGGAGCAGGTGATGGGACCAGGGTTGCCGCGTACGGTGATTTTGAAGCTAGCATTGCCATTGTAGATTGCAAATGGGTACGGCCTACATAAACGCGCGAGTGGTTGAAAATGCTGCTGAACCATGAAAGTAAATTTTAAGCCCTGATCCAGCGAAATATGATATTGATGGTTATGAAGATAATTGGAATTGAGAAGGCATGTACTATCTCCTGAATGACCTTTCCCGATCGGTCGTAAGTTACGGACCGCTGTAGTGAAAATGAGATAACTGACCGGCACTAATAATAGTGTTGAGACTCAGAACTGTTTGGAGGTAGATAAGGAAGATAATTAGAGCAACAATGTTTCAAGTCAAGCCTCGACGAGAGAAATTTGTTAGCTGATTGTGATGTTTGGTATGGGAAGGGAGGCAGGGCGCGAAGATGACAAAAGGGTCGAGGTGAAGCGGAATTTCTAGCCTAGGCCTGCTGAGGAAGATGAATAGTCCTGGATATTTGAGACAAACATCGATATTAGTAGACAACTGGAATATTTGTCGGGAACAGACCAATGATAATACATGCGTATAAGGAGCCCATGCCCTTTCTCTTTGTGCCGTCATCTGGGGGGTGGGACCCTCCACCTATCTTGCGCCCTGGCATCGCAGCCTATCAACTACAACCAGCATAACCACTATGAGCATAGAGCAGCAGGGCGCTATCTCGCGTCCTGAAACCAGCGCGGGTGCACGAGCCTCGTTAAAGATGCTGGGAATCTGGTTGGACGAAACCCAAATTCTTGGGATCAGCCGTGTGTCGTCCGCAGCCCGTCAGGTCGTCATAATTATTAGTACCAAGCTCATATAACAATAGATAACTGTAAACGTGTTCGAGCGCCAGTCGGCCAAGTTAGGCACGCCGTTACGTTAAATGAGATAGTCTGACAACATTCCCACCACTACGCATGCCACTAGGCGGCATCCCTGTTCCCTTTCACTGGATACATGAAACGTCCTCGAATTAAAATAGATGCCATTTGATTCCATTAAGGCGCGACGGAAAAGCGGAAACCAGTGATTGGTGTGATCAGCATGGTCACTTCCAAACATCTTACTCCCCGGAGTGTCAATTATGCCACTGACTGTGCACTTCTTCAGAGTGCCGTACGAGAGGCGTTGCAATCGCCGGATGATCTTGCCTGTCTTCCGATATCTCAGGGGGGATAAATGAATTAATGCTATCCTTCGGCTGCGATTGTCAATCCGTTCGCTCCGCCCCAGGTGCCGCCAAGCCACACCAGCCCCAGGATGATCACAAATTATATTGACATTCATCACCTGGCGATTCCACACCACTCTACCCTTACGAGCAGTGCACAGCGATTGAAGGGCCAAGGAGCCGATGAAACATTACTCGTGTGACATGCTATCCGAGATTCACCTGTCACATGACTATAACCGCTCATATCAGATGATAATCATCTAATAGCGAGCTTAGCAGATCGAGTCTGGCTGCCGGACCTCGGTACTATCTAGGTGATAGCGTTCGAGCCTCAAGAAATGCAAGTTAACATAAATGCCATAGCTGTACCTGCGTTACTTCGAATTGCTTGCCCGGCGAACAAGGTCCTTATTCTTTCTTCCTCCAATGGGCTGGACGTATCTGCCTTGTAATTAACTTTTTACATTCTTATTTTATAGCTGTCCCCTCCTCACCCTGTTTCTAAAATTCACCAGCAGATTCACAAATCCACGGAATATTCCGGCTCACATGTTCGATAGAAAAAAGCGCGTAGAACCGGAGATCAGAAGCCGTTGGTCTAAAAGTCGTATGGTGGGCTTTATGGTGGATTTATTGAAGGTTTCCCACGGCTGCAATGATTTCCCTGGCTTGCCAAGGTTGCTTATCGAGTCTAACAGAGTTCGCGGACAGCCTCTTATGGACTCAGATTATCGTCAAGTGTCGAAGCGATTTGCTAGAAACCTATGGCACGTATCCTACGGAGCCGATTAATAAATTACATTTGTTGCTGGAACAGTAGAGAACTGACGGTTTTGACCAAGTGCAAAGCGCTCCAGCGGCCAAGGTGAATTAAAAGACTAGCAGGGGTGTTTCGTCCGTCCACACGGCGCTTCAGGTTTCACAATTAACTTGACATGGCACACCAGCCTTGACAAGATTCGACGCGCGCAAATATCGTCTTTATCTACCATCTTCAACTTACTACTGTGATTCCCACTATTCTCACCCATGACTCCCCAATCCTCTGCCAGCTTAGCTCTTGGCTCCCCCTCCCAAAAGTAAATTCAAGGCCTGACGGCGAATTGGTTCTCACAAGGCCTACGAACAATCTAAGCAATACAGATAAAACCGCAGAGCCGATCTGCTAGACGGCCTGCCAAGACTAGACCCCAAGCCCCACAGATTCATTGGGGGTTACAATGACTAACTTTCAACCTACGCTTCGCAGAGGTAGAGCGCGTCGTCAATGGAGGATAAGACTAAACACCTGTACACGGTATCCTCTACTAACCTGAGAGTGAAATATTTTCCCAGTGCCAAGTTCAGTCAAATGTCGTAATATCAAAGAACTTGGCCCACGAGACAATGATTCAAATTACTCCTCCGCCTCGTTTTTTCGCTCCCAACGAGTTTGACTTCTACCTAAATCTCATCAAGTCGACAAGTACGACCAAGTACATCCTCATCTCAATGACCACACCTCTCTTCCACTTTCTCTGGCCTCAGCTGGACGCCAAAAACACGCCCACGTCGGTATTTATACCCGACAGAGGAGACAAAGCGTGGCGCACAAATCTGGAAGACAGTTCTTTGGGATAGATGTGAGAGGTACCAGGACAAGTTTACAAGACGACACGGAGGATGGATACAATTTCGACGGGCGTGTGATTTAGAATTTTCGCAATAGTTATACGAATTGAGCTTTGTGTGCGCGCCAAGGCTTCGCTCGTGAGAGAGGAGCTAGCACTATAAATACAAGTCAACGATGGAAGGTGCCGTGGTCCCTCTCATGGTGGTGTTTTCTGATATATTTTGAGTAGCCTGGGCACCTACTTCACTTGGGAAGGGTACGCCCTGTACCACATTTCACGTGGAGAAAATTAAATGGATGATGGAGAGAGTTCTGGATAACTCAGGGTTTTTGAGATGTTCCCCTGGGTAGGTATTCACGGATGAGGGTTGACTTGGTGTGAAGAAAAAGTCACCATAACTTCGCAGTGGTATTTGCAAATGAAACCCGAGGCATTAGTGCTCTTCTTGTATATTGAGTCATCTATTATATACTTTTCTTTTATATTGTGTCATAGCTAGATAGCCCCCCAATAACGACAACAACCCGACGGAACGATATGAAGGTGCAAGGCTAGAGCAACGATGAGATCTGGGACTATATTAATATTTCGGAGTTAATGAGGATGTCAAGGGCTCGGGCGTGTGGTTGTCGAGGCTGAGGAAGAATTTGCGCTTCGGCGCGTCAAAAGAGAGTTCTCTGGACGGTTTGGCTTGACATGATTCAACACATGGGTGAAGTCTGAGGTGGTCCGGTCATTTAGGTGGGACGAGGCACTTGTAATTTACGGTAGTTAACCTGATCAGGCCCGGCCCCACCCGTCCTTAAGCTCCAGTTGGAGTGCAACAGTAGTCATGTAACCTAGCGCGTTAATGAACAAAAAAATAGCTAGATAGCTGCATATGCAATTGAAATCTAATGCAAAAAAAAAGCGCGCCATCAATAGATACCTCAAAATGTTGGCAGATACAACCGACCAACAGCTCCGACGACTTGTAGAAGACAACGGAGTGGCCTCACAGGCCATGATAGCAGAAATTCGGCGCGGAAAACCCAGCCAGCCCCAATACGGTAGGCCATCAGAGGTTGCCAGCAGCAGCAAAACTACACCCATCCTCGCGCTAGCTCCCAAATCGGGAGTAAAAACCAAAGCGAGCATTCCAAGACCAGTGAAGTTTCTCGCGGGAAAAAGCAACAGCCACGCAGGAGACAAAGAGCCGGCTTCGACAACGCCTAACAGGCCAGACCAAGGCGATGACCTTCAAAGCTCTAACACCACTGAAAGATCCTGGACTCAGGTAGTAAAGAAAAAGACAAAGCCCGCAAACTCGGCGGCGACAATACCGCTACCAGCCAACGGATCCCTTCCAAAAGCAATGGGGCCTACGCGAAAGCTGAAGCCAAATGCCTCAGCTCCAAATCCAGCTCGATTATACGAACGCATGTTCCTGCGGCTCAAGTCCGACCATCCGTAGAGACATATGTCTCCTCAATACATCAAAATCAGCCTCGCAAGCAAGCTACGCCTGGCTAATTCTGCAATCAAGCAGGTAACCGTCGTCAACCCAGGGTTTGCGATATAAGCTGAAGGAGATGGAGCTAGAAGCTCGCTCCTCTCGAGCGCCATACTCTTGGAGAATACGAAAGTGAAACTGGAAGCAGCTTCCAACTGGATCTCGGTACTGGTTCCGAATATACCAGACAGAATCTACACACTAGAAGGCTCAATAGCAGTAACACCAGAAATGGTGATAGAAGAAGCGGCTCTAAAAACGGGCGTTATACCAACTTAGGCTTGTGCCTTCGCTTCCAGCATGGCCCGGCTATCAATTGACTGGGTGCTGCACTTTCCAACTGGAAAACTAAAGCTAGCCGAACGACTGTTCGAAGAAAGTGGTCGGCTCCACGAACTACAACGTAGGCCAAAAATAGCTCAGTGCAACCAGTGCTGGGGACATAATCCCACAAAGATCTGTTCTCGTGCGGAACGATGCTCGCGCTGTGGCTCAATTGAGCATAAGGATCCTTCTTGCTTGCAGTCCATACCGAGGTGTATCTACTGCCACGGGCCTTACGCAGCTATTGACCAAGAATACATGACCCGGCCAACACGAGTCGGCGGAAAAATCTGCGAGCGCACAAAAGACCAGCTATTAGAAATCTGAGAGCAGTGACATAAAGAAAGAAACGCTTCGATCTGAGAATTCGAAGCTAAGCAGAAAGCTGCCGATCCCACTGCCGAAATCGAACCCTCAACCGCTTCTCAATGCCAGTAATGGACCACAACCTTAACGAGCTTGACAACGCGGCAACAACAATCAAGTTCCTCTGCGCTAATTTGGGCAGGGGAGACCTCGATACGGACATCGTCCTGCAATCTGCTTGGGATTCTGGAATCCTTGACTCAACTTAAAGACGGCATTTGGCTCACAAAGTCGCATCCTGGCTTCGAAAGGCATATGCCGCTTCGTGCTGGCAGAAGTTTCGCAAGGCCTTGCCCTCTTATTTACTCACGAAAAGGGAACAAGTGCCATCAACAGGTAATCTACGAGGTATCGCCAGATATTACCGTAGTAACTGTTGAAGGGATTACATTTGTATCTATATACCGCGCATTAGAAGCAGACATTCTGCAGTTGCTAGTACGGGCTCTGTTGGGACCTACGGTAATTACTGGTGATTGCAACGCAGCTCACCCCGAATAGCAATCTATGGCAACAAGACTACATGGAGATGGTTAAGTTCTTATTGACTGGATGCACGAGCATGATATGGACTTGTCTTCAATTCCAGTCGTGCTAACTTACTATTTGTTGGAAATGGAGACACGGAGTGTTATGGAAGTACGGGCCCTCCATTTCGTCTAGGTTCCCGACACGATCTTGTGTGTATGCAAGAGGTTGGAATGGGCAATATGGTAGCACTTCAGGCTACCTATTGGAGATATGAGCGGCTGTATGGCGTGGGCACAAGGAGGTTATTGGGGGTTTTCTATGCCTAGATGGCGCCACACTCGTTTATGGTGTCGCTTACACTTGTACTTGTAGCGCACATCTCCCACACTTTTAGCTTTAATCCGAATATGAAACTCTATTTGTCAACTTCTACTTTCGTTCCATAAATATTGCGCCCATTACATTGCGCGATATTTCCAACACTTTTATGGAAACACGCTCGACCTAGTCTGGTCCAACGCGGGAGCTCTCGCAGATGTTTCGATTGAGCTGGACTTGACATTAGACCATCGTACAATTACCGGTGATGTTCTGCGTCTAAAATCAAAAGTTTCGATCACTTTGAAGTTCAGCCAGATGTTCCGGGTGAGCAACAATGCACTCGAAGACTTTTCTAAAGCCTTGAAGAGTTGGGGCGACGATATAGGTAAACAGCCTATTACCTCGATATGTGACGTAGACGACCTTGCTGATGTCTTGGACTGGACCATAATCGATGCAATAAGAACCACAGGCTAACGTGGTAAAGCTAAGAGGGGTTGAACGACACCCTGATGGACCGAAGACTGCTGTGTGGCTAAAATTCAATACAGGATCTTCAGGGAAGATGAGAGCAGAAAGGCTTTTCGCCGGATTGTAAGGAATGCGAAGCGCCAATGCTGGCGTCGAAAGTTCTCCGAGGCCATAACAGACGCAGACATGTATCGAATGGCCTAGTGGGCTAAACCCCGACCGCAAACCATGGCACCTCCTCTCCAAACACCTGATGCTTTTGTAGTAGAACCAAACCGACGAGCTCATATCTTGAGAGACCTACTTCTCGGCCGTTTAACTAGCGAAAACCATATCGAAGATGAGCTCTCTGAATCATGATGCAGTAACTTTCCATGGGCCACCAGCATCACTG